AGAGTGTATGAAAAGAACAAAAATGAGGTTCAAAAAAGTACAAAAAAAGAGGTCGTGCGAGGAAAAAATGCTGCTATCTCTCACCCCAAATGGTACTTTCCATCACTGCTTGCCTTTTCAAAGCTAAAAATGTTTGCTTAAATAGAATTTTACTTTTATATGTTTTGTATACCTAAAAAAGCACGAAAACTCAGACTATGCGGAAGGATGTGTGTGTATGTCTGTTACGCATTTTTGTACGCAAAATCTGGTCTCCGAAGGAAAGAAATATGCATAAAATGTATGTTTACGTTGTGTCACCTTAATATTGCGCCGCTGTTTATTTTTTTCATCAAAACTACATGACCTCCTCCAAGACATTAAAACATCTCACCTGGTCCACCAACGGTAACGCGCAAGAAGCAATGGCGATACTCAACACATACACACACGAAGGATATCACAAGAAAAGCTTTGCCGAAAGATCGAGCGGTAATTCTTCAGATCTTCCTTATTGCCATATTTTTGTGCAGCAAAACCGTTTTCGACTCTTTTCAATTGCTAGGAGTTTTTCTTTCGGCCAAGTATCGTCTGAACTGAAAAGCGCTTCTGTCCGATGAATCGCTGAGCTGACAAAAAAAAACACACGAAAAATTAAGGAACGCTGGGAAGCTGATCAGCTAGAAAAACTCAACGATTTTTACTTGTAAAACGGAAGACGCTTTTCGCAACTGAATAATTTATAAAGTTTAAAAAAATACCCTAAAAAATTGAACGGAGCGTGCTAACGTTTCAACGAGTCAAATCTCATTCAGTGATTTCTATGAAAGTAGTGATTTATATGAAAACAATGAGAAAAAATCATAATATGCAAAAAAACGAAAGAAAAATGGTTATCACTCGATTCTGCAAGAAACACGCGTCAGCATTACTTCGCGATGGGCTCGAAAAAACGAATCGATGAGAGATGTGCGTCGCAGTGCAGAACAGAACGAAGGGCTTTCCAGGTGGAGAATGAGGAAATGACATTGCTGGATGAGGGACAACGAGGAAAAAAAACAACGCGAAAGACTGAGGGGAGAAAGGTCAATGAGGTCAACGATATGCCCATAGCCCCCTCTTCTTTCGTTGCAAGAACAAAATGCACAGGAAAATGGGCAAAAACAGTGATATCGCGTCAAGTCAACAAAAACAAGCGAGCAACTACGCCGCCGCACGGCAAAGCGACCACGTGTGGCATACGTGCGACCTCACGTAGCCTCACATTTCTGTGAGAATACTGCCCATATAAAATGGGAGGAGAGAGGAGGAGGGATGGGTGGCGATAAGTATTAAATGAGAATATAAAGTCCAAGTAAGGTATAATTGCATCCGCGGTACTGTAGGGAGGCTGAAAGAAAACTGAAATTTTAGGGTAATGACCCCCTGCCCACGTTCAACATTGCCCACTCAAATTCAGCGTTCTCGCGCTCTCGGGTACTACCTACGGCCTCATGAAAATTTTGGTGGGCAAACTATTAACTCGGGAATCACGGAGAGATATTCATTCTTCAAGGTTTCGAATTCAGCTTTCATGCGCTGGTGCGTGAAATTTTAACTGTTTTTCAAAGTATTTTTGCATAGGCTAAAGTACAAAGCAGTGAAAATCATTAATAGGCAATCATTCGATGGGCTGGATTGCACAAAACGCATGATCGCACGGGCTAGGCTTGTGTGCTTTGCTATTTATTTTCGTTTGCTCAACTTCAAATCCAATTCGTTCTTCATTCGTTTTGTTTGCTCCTAAGTAGGTATAGCTGTCCACAAGCTCAACAGACTGATTCTCAAGTTTCGTGTCGAATTGCGAAGCACTAAGCGTTCTTCATCCACTTGGTTTTTGCACTGGGGGTTGCAAATTTTTTCGAATTTTTATTAATTGTCATTTTCTGATGATGTGTAATTAGGTCACTTATGCCCGGTGATACATTTAGCGCAGATCCTGTTACATCGGTAATTGTTGCCTAAAAAAAACAGTAAAAGCGAAACTGGGGAAATCTTCCAATGCGAAGCGAGCTTCGTGCGCCATGAGTTTACGTCCGGGGTACTAGTAACTACACGTACGTGAGCCGAGCAATTGCATCGCGCGCCTGACGCCCCGAAAGGCCTACGTAAGACGTCATCGATCGCGTGCGTGTGTGTACGGCTGGTCGCCACGTGGGGATTTCGCAGTGCCACGTCATCAGTTAGCCATTTTCGTCGTATGGTCGTTGTGGTGTGGTCGCTGGGATCCTTGTGCTCTGTTGGCTTGGCCATTGCTCAATCCGTGGGGGGGCAGCCTTAGGCCCCTAAGTAGCCGGCAAGGCCTTACTTTGTTGCTGGGATTGGGACTGCATTATCGCTTGTTGCAGATGCGAAAAGCATGTTGTATAATCTGCAGTTTCGTTGACCTTTGTCCACGTGATTTGCGTGGTTGCGTTGAGTGTGCATGACGTTGCCTGCCTATCATTGTCCACTTTTTCCTATAACTCAACTTTCGACGTTTTTTGCGAAATGAATGGGCGGTTTGTTCATCTTCGCGTTAAACAACGAAGCAGTAATTTCAGTGAGTGGCTGCGTAGTGTCCTGCAGGATTTCGGCTTAAAATACCCTGCAGGATTACGCACTGTTCTGCAGGGTTTCGTGCTCTCCTGCAGGGCCTTGTGGAGTGTCATGCCAATGGTGGCATGGCACATGGCGATTGGGGCCTGTGGCGCCTTCAGCGGGGCGCTGCAGATGGCAGAAAGTGGTGCACCAACTGGAGCTGCAAGACACGCGGTGAGTTTGCATGTGCTTTGTCAGCCACTGACATATAATTAGCGAGAAAATGAGTGCTGTTTGTTAGATAATAAACCCTAGACTGGATTGTGCACCAGGTTTGCCGGTGTTTGCACTAAACTTGAAGCAATCAAATCGTGAACTGGGGCTGTCTGCCTGACCCAGGCATAATTTCGGTCTTCAATAGTGCTTATCTTTTAGCCCAAAGTGAAGCAAAAAAAGGCGCGGCCGGAAAAGACTCACGACGAAGCCGGCGATGAAAACTGGGAAAAAAAGACCCCGCCGGAGAACAAGCAGTCAAGACGGACACTACGACCACCGAAGCGTCAGCGAAAGCAACGAAGGCGCCCCCAGGATTACTGCTGCCCGTGAGAAAAAGACGACGGGAAATCGGCGCCAGAAGTGACATTTTATCGATGAAGTAGCAGCCGCATAATGTGGAAGCACATATGCACGGAAGTGCAGGGGCTGGCATCGAACTCTGTGGATACATTCGGGGAAACTGCAAGCACACATAGGAGAAGTTCAGCGTAAGGTTTTCAGTTAAAAGTCACTGTAAAGGACATAAACTTGGGCTGGGGACTTTTGTTTTAAATGGACTCAATAAAAGAGGTATGACAATTTGGCAGCGGGCGGGACTGGCAGGAAATGATCAGTGTGTATGATAATCATTGTAATGATGCAGCCAGAATCTTTTTTTTTTTTCAGATGTGGCTTATCACGTATGATTTTTTTGTGGTTGTTTATCGGAGCACCAAATGGCCGAGTTGTGCAGCATTGCTCCAGACGTTCAAGCAGCGTCATGAAAAATTATGAACGTCTGAGAAAGGTGGGCCAGAATCTTTTGGCAAAGCATTAGGTAAATTTGTCGCAATGATTTCTATGTATGACATTAGCCCAAATCTGTACTAACATTTCTAGTTAGAACATAGACAGGAGAAATATCTCATAACTTGCTGAAAGCTCTTCATCCTGCTCGTTTCATTTGCTCAGCTTCAAACCCAGCGCGCTGTTCATCTCTTTCCTTTGTCTTAATTAGGTACAGCTGTCCACAATCTCACCGGCCTCGTTCTCGGGTCTCATTTCAAACTGCGAAGCAGTACCCGTTGTTCATCCACTTGGTTTTTCCACCTTTACTTCGAATTGGTTCTCATTCTGTGAATTGTCATATGCTGACGACGTGTAATTTTCACTTCTGCACGGTGATACATCGAACACAAATCCTTCACAGTGCCACGTTACCTTACCTTTTTCAACTTGGAGTCGTTCTGCGCGTACTTGTTGGAGTCCTTGCTATGCGGGCTTGGTCATCGGTTACTCCGTGGAGGATAAGTCTTAGGCTTCTGAGCAGTTGACATGTCCTTACTTTGTTGCTGCTGTCGAGGCTCATGATCGCCGGTTGGAGATGCGAGAAGCAGACCGATACTGTGTGGTCGTGTTGTGTAATCTGCGGCTTTGATGAATTTGTCCGCATGATGTGCTTGGTTGTGCCGAGTGCTTTACGTCACCGGTTATTATCCTCTTTTTCCTATAAGTATTCGGCTTTCGGCGTTTATTACAAAATGAAGGGATGGTGCGTTCATCTTTTTAAGTGAAGCACTAATTTCAGTGAGTGGCTGCGTGGTGTCCTGCAGGATTTCGGCTGCTCTGCAGGATATCGTGCTGTCCGGAAGACCATTATCCAGTTGACGTGATGCAGTTCTGCAGGACGATGCACTGGATGTCACGAGTGGTAGCCGGGTGGCGGCTGTGGATGTATGCGTCCGGAAGGGTCGGTTCTTTTTCATTTACATTACTGGCACATTGCAACCCCTAAATTTTTATTGTATGAGTTATGCTCTTCACCGACACACAACGCCACCGGCTCTTCGGACTGCTGGCGCTTGCGTGAAAATGGAAAGGCATTTTCTTGTGTGTGTTAAAAAAAAAACCTCATAATCTGTTATTGCAGGCCGAATATTCACTTCAAGAAGTGATGTAAAGGATTGTGGTAGAACTAGAGAAGAAAAACAGTATAATGTAAAGAATATGTGTAATTTTTTTATGAGATTGTATGGTTGTTGGATGTATAGTGTTTTGAATTGTATATTTTGTTAAAGAAATTGCATAACTGCTGTTAGAAATTGTATATTTGTTAGGGGACCGTACAGTTTTAAAGGAACTTTATAATTTTTTTTTATACATATTGTATACTGTAAAGATATTGTATATTTGTTAAGGAATTATGTAATTTTAGAGGGGTAGTATAGTTACAGGGAAATGTAATTATTAACAATTAGTATAGTTTGATGTGTAGTTTTTTTTTTGTATTTTATAGAATTGTACTTATTTTTCGTAGCTGCCTAATAAAATCATGCTAGAAAATTAAACCTGTCATCGTTTAGCAACAACAGAATAACAGGACCACTCGGACAGGCGATTTGGATATCCCATGTTAATGACGTTGCCCAAATGCTCCTTCACTTCCGGCGTACCTATGTCAGGCCTTTCC